CCAGAGGAGGCCACTCGTATGATCAGGGGGCAGCAAGGCAAGCCCTACGAGGAGAGGCTACCGGACCTGAACCTGTTCAGCCTCCACAAGAGAAGGCTGAGGGGAGATCTAGTGGCATGTTACAAACTAGGCAGAGGGGACCAGCAGGCATTGGGGGAGTCCCTGTTCCCCCAAGCACTGCCAGGAGTGACTAGAAATAATAGTCACAAGCTGGCAGAGGGTAGATTCAGGCTACACATCAGGAGGCGCTACTTCATGGTCAGGGCAGCTAGGATCTAGAACCAACTTCCAAGAGAAGTGGTGCTGGCTTCTACCTTGGGGGTCTTTAAGAGGAAGCTAGATGAACACCCCAGTACTCTTTCCTGCCATGGCAGGGGGTCAGACTTAATTACCTGCTCAGGTCCCTTCCAACCCTACCCTACCAACTATGAAGACTATAATTGTATATTGAGTGCTGTGCATGGTTGCCCTATGAGAGGTGGCACAGGGCTGAAGAAGAACAACAAAGGGCTACTTCTATTGGATACAGGGTTTGCTGAGCCCCCACATTGGAATCATATAGGCTAAAAGCTCATTCAGTGTCTGGCTCTAGCCAGTTGGCCTTTTACCATAAGGCAGAGATATCAAACTCACCCTGGACCAGATTCAGACCACACGGGTTCCTCTGGGGCCAGGTCAATGGGACCAATTTTGGGTGGCAGTGTGAGTCCAGGCCAAGTAGCAGTCCGGATCTGAGGGTGTGCAGCTGCATAGAGTCACATACCTGTTGCTACACACCCCCAGCTCTGTGCTGCTCCCAGCAGCATGGAACTCTGGTCAGTCGGCCGTGCCAGGGGCATGCAGCAGCACCGAGCTGAGGGTGCACAGCCATAGCCCACTGGACTACCCATGGGCCGGATGCAGCAGCTATATGTTGAATGCCCCTGCTGTAAGGGCATCTGTGGGTTATGACTAGGTTCCTGTGCAGGTGCTTCCCTACACTGCTTTCTGCTAAATTAATCTCAAAGGAAGAACAGTGCAAGTTTCATTCCCTGATTCCAGTTAGCGAGCCTTACTCAAAGTGAACACAGCCTTGTGCTGTATGATGGAAATGCACAGAAGCCTATTTCCTCCCTTCTGTTTCCCCTTTCTCCCTCAAAACTAGAGCCTGGCTTTACCTGTTGCATTCCTCTACCAGTGCCTCTCTCTCTTCTTTGCTGGGATTCTTCTGTCTCTCATAGGCTTGGAATAGGATCTGCTGTGAGGCAGGACCCCACTTAAAGCGGTTTCTTCTCCCCTTCTTGGTAGGTAGGTCATCTCCCATGGGTTCCTCTGCCAGGATGCCCTGACCAGCATGTGTGAACTCTGGAAGCACAAATGGGCAAAGGACTTTTTAGGTCGGTAGTTTTTTCTGTAACATTCTCTCACCTGGAACCCACTTGGTCTGTCTGTGGCCCACGTCAACTAATATGGAACAAAAAACAGAGCAGAATCTAGACGAGACTGCTCTGTAATTTGCTAAAATGGATCTGGTAATCCCCAGTGGAGCCATATATACTTGGCCCTGGTGTTAGACACATTGCATCTGTATTCCTCACATGAAGCAGTGAAAGAAATCAAAACAGCAGGAGCTTGGACTGAATCCAGCTGATGTAGAGTGCAGCCCTCTAAGACCAGCCATCAGTCAAATTAGTAATTTTATTAGGGACCTATAAATATGATTGAAACAGATTCCACATAGACTCATTAATATGGAAGTGCAAGCTGCAGAGTCCTTAGTTCCAAGCGTGCATTTGTAATATACCTGTTTAGCGTATGTGAGATGATATTCCACTAATGGCTGGCTCCAGTGACTACAGCAGTCTATTGCTTACTTGTAGCTAGAGGAATTATTTAATTAGATGAAATTTCAGAGGCCTGCTTTTGAAGCTGAAGGTCCTGGATTCTGTCACTGCTCATTCCCAGCTGCCTGTGTTTCTTACACAGTACTCCATTGTGAGCTGAGCAGAGCCTCTGCTTGGATGTAGAAGTAGAGTTGCAAGTGGAAGCCTATAATCTGCCTCTGTATGAAAAGAGTAGATGACTGCATGCTGTTTTGGGGGTTTCTGCCACCTCTAAATTGGTCACCCCACTGAACACTGACATGGACTTGTCTAAACTTCCTGCTGGAAAGCATTCCTCCACCTCAGAGGTGGGGAGAGTTGTGGGAGATGTATGAGACTAGAACTTAGAGAAACCTGTTATTGCTGTACTTACGCTGGGCCACCTCTCGCTGCTTGCGGACATACCAGGTGTAGAGGGCTGCTCTCTTTTGTGTCTTCATGGGTGTGCCCTTGTTGAGGTGCTGTGAGAGGTGGGACTGGTTCAAACCTGTGGTGTCTACCACCTCCCTCTGAGGAATGTTATGCTGCTGGAGGTAGGATTTCACCATCTTTGCTACCCTCCAGGGATCCTCTCTAGGAAGAAGAGAAAATGCATCTCAGAAAAAATCTTTTGGCTGTGTATCCAGGCTCAGCAGAAAGGATTTCAAGAATATCAGTCAGGACTTATCTCTGCTTCTTGCAAGAAGAGTGGACACCAGAAACTCTGAGAGCAATTAATCTTCTCTTTACCCCAAATTAGACAGATTTGCTGTGCTGTATAATGGCACCTTTGTATCCCCATGGAAATCTCTGTATACTGCTTTGACCCAGTGTCAACGCTAAATTATGTGCTTGCTTAAACATTTTACAAAGTATTGTTAATGGCTCTGGAGAAGATGTAGCAGGAGAGCTGAGGTCTGAAGGCTGGGCAGCAGCACAGCTCTAGCTGCCTTGTTGACTCAGTGGGTTGCCAGAGGCTGCAAAGTGATAAAGAGGACAAAGTCCAGATCTGTTGCCTCAGTACAAACACCCTTATCTCTGTTCCTGCTGTACCCTCTTCCACAACAGTCCAAGGAGCAAGCTCAGCTGCAATTGGTGCAGTGGGAGGCTGACGGGCAACTTTCTGAAGATGTTTCTTTTAAAATGGGACCACTCATCCCTCTCATAAAGGGTGGGTCGGTGAGAGCTGTATTAGGGTGTTCCACTTTTCACCATCTTCCCTGTGCCCCAAATTGGACTGACTCCAATAGCTTTTTCCTTTCTGAGCCTTAAGCAAGTGGTGTATCAGTTCCTGAGACAAGAATTAATCTCCCTTTAGGTACTGCTTGGTCTCCATCCACTCTGTTTCAGTGAACCTATCCAGCAACTTGCCTTCTCTAAAGGCATACCCAGCCCCTATTCAGGGGCTCAGGGTCCTGAATGAGAAGATACTCAAGCTTGAGCAAAACATGCTTCTGATTCAGCTAGAGAAGAAGAGGGGACCTTATTATCACCCATAGAAACCTCTGTAAGAAATTGATTTCCTTCTCATCTTCCAGCCATAAGATGCCAAGTTCTCTCTCTCTCTCACTAGGATATTTAGTGCTATATGGTAGGAAGAAAGGTGGAGGTACTTGTGAGCCTTATCCTCTAACCCTGTTTTAAAACCCCACTGTATAGTTTCAAGCACTATGCACTGCCAGTGTTGAGAGTCTTTTTGCGGGTGTGTCTGCTCTTCAAATACACCTGCATTGGGGAATCTCTTTACAGCCTGGGTACCCTAACATGTGGTAAAGGGTGGTGAAGTACAAATGAAGCCTTGACTGTGTCCCTGTAACAAAGACTGTAATTGCAGTGTTAGATGGGCATTATGGTCCTATATAGTAGAGCAGGCTGTGTTTCTAGGGCAGTTGAATATTCACTTGACATCACAGCACCACCTGCAGAACCATTGCCCAAAATACTATAGGATGATGGTTTCTAGGACTGTCTGGATAAATATTTGCCTGTGAACAGACTTCATGTCCCAGAAGGTCCCTTCCAGTCTTCTGTTCCTATTCAATCCTTGCCCCACTGTAGTCAGTGTCAAAACTCCTGTGGTCTCTAGCAGGAGGTAGGATTCCACTCCCAGCCTTATCTTGCTGAACTGATTTGGCAAAGGTCCCAATGCCTTTCGGGAACTGGGACTGTAAAATTGGGCTGGCCTTGCTCAGTTCCTGACCACTTCTCACTTCCAAAATCTCCTCTTTGTCTTCAACTTCTCTTCTCTCCAAGTACAAAATTTCACCTATTTCTTTCCCATTCTCCAGCCTCTTCCTCCATATTCTTCTTGTCCTCACATAATATAGACTTTCACTCACTCTTCATTTCCTATGTTCTGGTCTCCTGCCTTTGGCTTCTCCATGTCCTCTGAACACAGACTCCCTTGCCCCTCTTGATATCTGGGGCCTAGGCCTGGTCTCCATTCCAGCTTCCCATTTCCTCAGTTCTGAGGTCACTTTTAAAGGGCGTTTTCACCTCCCTTTTGTTACCTGAACAATAAGTAACCCAGGTAGTTAGTTATAAACTCAAAGGGAACAAGAGGCTGGTTGATAATTTATAGCAACATCTCAAATTTAAATGGAAAGTAAATATCAAGTTGTTAGCATTAAAGAAAACCCATTCCAGAGAGCTGGGGATGTAACATTCAGGGGACCTTCTCTCTCCTTTGTTCTTCCTGGATTTTCTTCCCAAACTCTCTCTATCTTTTTCCTTCTCATCTCTCTCCTCCTCATTTTCCAGGTTGTTTTCTTTCCATTCCTTCCTTCCCCTGTTCTCTACCATCTCCCAGGGCAATGTGTTTTGTTTCGCTTTTTTTTTCCAGATTCCCTTTATGGGCAGAAAACGCCCTAAGTTCTTGGAGTTAGGTTTTGACCTTCTCCTTCTTTGAACTGGGACTTAGTTAAAGGTGTGTTCAGAGGTTTGAAATGCTTGAGGCAATCCCTCTGGCGCTTACCTCTGGAGGCTACTAGAAACCTATCACTGATGTCAATGCACAGACTGGACCTGGGATGGCCAGAGAGCAGGGAAGGTAAGACTGTCCCCAGCAGGGTTCTTTTCTGTTGAATGTGGCCTGGTTTGACTCATTCTGGCTTATACAACCATATAATTAAATGGAAGGGGTGTGGTAGCTTCAGCTCTGGACCCTCAGCTATGGCTGCCCCCAGCAAGTAGCTATCTGGGGGAAGGGCAGGGCCTTTAGCTCTTGGACAATGCCCCTTTAGAAAATGTGCCCTCACCCTTGGCTTTGGTGGAAATGTGCTTGCTGTCTCCATTTCCTGCTTTCCCAATGGAATTTTACCCTTTGTTTTCTTGGCAAATGATTCCTATGCCTCCTTCCAGAGTACAGCAGCCCTTACCCTGACCCCTCACTCCTTATCATATGTTGGCAGTAAACCCCTCTGCTGTGGAAGTCTGCTCTTTTCTTTGTTATGCTCCTAAAGCCAATCTGTATTCTCTCATTTCCCCCTGAAATAACTGATAAGCGCCTCCAGGAATTACTTTACTCCTTAACACACCCCAGTCCTGTTCCGTTCTGGAGGGCCCCTGGGAGGAATTTTAAAAAGCCCAAAAGTGCTAAGGTTTGCAAGTCCCATGGATACAATCAATGAGACTCCTCCATCTAAATCCCATTCCTCATCTCTTCTCTTTGGGCTTCACAGTATGGTGGAGGGGAGGGGGGACTTTTAATTTCTTACTAATGAGACCTCCTTTTGTGTGTGATCAGTATATTCTGTAGGGACAACATGAAATGGACTCCAGCGAGTGCACTTAAGGCTGTTTTAAGGGAGTGAGGGCAATCTATATGATTTACCTATATCCTGTATTTACTGAGCATAATCAGTGATCTACGTTGACAGTTTGGGAACCACTAAGTGGTTCACAGAGTACATATTAAAGGTCTACAGAGAAATGTTTGGTCACATGCTGTGGTCTCTTCTTGTTTCCAGCTTCTAAAGTGCATCAAAAGTGTAGAATAATAAACCCAATTTTGTCTTCCCATGTAACCAATTGTTACAGCTCTTAAAGGAAGTGGTTGTGACCATAGTTACAAAAGATGTTCATGAGACAATTTCTGTATTATAAAGTTGCTGACAGTGTTAGTCCCAGAATTGCTGCTTTGGCACAAGGTGGAATTTGCACTTTGGAGTGCTCGCTTTGGCCGCTGGATTTGAACAAAACAGAATCCTACCACCATGATTTTGGAAGGGAAACCCCCCACAAAAAAAACCTCCATTGAGTGATGTCCCAGATTATCGAAAGGAATTTCTGTAATATACCATTTTGCACTACGTGTAATTATATATAATGGTATCCTAAGGACAACCTCCTTAGGTTATCTTCTATCACAAAATAGTTCCTTTGCTGGTTGGGGGGGGGGTATTGTTGTCTACACCTTCCCCACTGTCAGTCCCTGATATTGACTCAGGTGCATTGAATTTGCTTCCCCAAGAAAACAATTGTTTTTTAAAACATTGAACACAAAGACAGAAATCACATTTCCTATTAGAACAATCTCTCCACTACCCCATTTCAGAGTTGCTTCTAGTGGCTTTGGTTTAATATTTTCCATGAAGACGCTTCCTGCCTTTTTTGTAGCCTGGGTCCTAAGCATTGCTTTAATGCAGTCCTGAATGCATGATAGAAATATAATTTTGACCTCTGTCTTACAGCATTTATGGCTAAGGGAAATTTATTTTTGCTGAGTTTTTGTGAGGAGATCAGTGATAAGACACAAACAGAATGAGGCTCTAGGAGATCCTGGTTCTGTTCTTAATCCTGCTACTAATTTTCAACATGGCCTTGGGCATGTCACATTTCTTTTCTGTGCCTCAGTGTCCTCACCTATAAAATGGGAATCATGGTCTACAAAAAGCTTGAAATGCTGAGTTGGAAAGCACTTAAGAAGTGAAGAGCATCATTATAAATGTGTAGCATAGGAATAAGCAGCCTGCTAGAACTGACAACAAAATGGAAGAGATCAGAAAACAGAGTTTATGCCAAGGTGAACCATGATCAGTTCCCAGCTCAGGGGAAGGAATTCCTTCCAGGTGCAAGATTCTCTATACCAGAGCACAGTGGACAGAGTCCCACCCCTGCTTCATCAGTTTATTAGGGAGAGAAGACAAAGCCAAGCACTCTTCCATGGCTTCCTTTCTGGAGAGACACCCGATAAATCATCAGAAGTTAATGATCAAAAAGCTTATCAGGGTATTTTTGTTTATAAATTTATAAGACAAAAGAGAAATAATAAAGGCACTGGATAATTAGTAACTAGTCAGGGCCCGCCCGGTGCAACTGGAGCTCAAACTGCCCCAAGATCTCTACGCATACTCGGGAAGAAGAAGGCAGGGGTGACACGGAGTGAGCAAGACGTGTGGAACAGAAAGAGCTGGATAGGCAGACACAAAAGAGGGGGGCTAGACAGAAAGAAGTGGGATGAGAGAGAGCAAAAGAAGGAAAGAAGAAAGAGGTGTAGGACAGGGGAGATGGAAACAGCTGGGGCTTGTAACAAAGAAGGAGGGGGATGAAAAGTAGAGGCAGAGGAGGGTGAGAGGCTCCTTGGGTAGGCAAGAAGATTTAATTATGTGGAACATTTTCCTTTCCAGGTAAGAGCTGTTCCAATATATTTTTTCCATCAGGCACTTTAATGTGATCGGCTCTAAATCTTCCCAGACTCTCTAGAGCTCAAGCAATGAACGTATGCCCTCTTAAATATTAATCCTTACTCTTACTCTTCTGTTTTGCTACCTATGGGCTTTTGCTGGGGTTTTGTGTTTGCTTTTCATTGTTGCATTTTGAATTGTATTTCCTTTTCCCATAGAGAGGAATGGACAAAAAGCTTCTCAGCCCTCCTGACCAATTTTAGGTTGCCTCAGAAAGATTCTAAATGGCAAACTGAGTCTCTGGGACCTTGCAGCTACCCAGTGTCTCCTGCCTGACCCTAACCTCAGAATGTGAGGTTTTGTGGTTGAGTTTCTTGATGTTAGGTAGATAAATAGAGAGAATTCCTCATACTTTTTGCCTACTATCATGACATATTAAGGCAAGTTTGTGCAACAGTAGAGCTTGTAGATGGCATCCCTGTGTATATTCAGTATACATGTTGGGAAATGGAGACACTGAGCATGCTTACCGGGGCTGACAACTATTAGAGTGTAGCTGGTCTGCCCTCCATCTACACCCAAATCCCCATTGAAGTCAGGGGACATACGGTCTGTACAAAGACACCCGGATCAAGACCTATTGTTTTGTCTTTGTTGGCAAACCTGACTGTACCAAAGTCAGTAAAGAAAAATATGTACAACTTTGTAAAAATCTCAGGAAAAACATAGACGTTTTCTCCTCCTGCAGTGCAGATTCTCAGACTATCGTGATGGCAATTCATGCATTGTCTAGATTTGTGTGGGCTCATCCTGTTTTTCTTTCCTGGTGGCTGACACTGTGAATTCTATAAAATCTCATAGCCAAAGGAGCAGAAGCTCTACAGGTCTCTGATTGTTCTGAAGTCCTGTTTTCCCAGACAGTATTAGAACTTGTCATTTGTAACTGGGCTTTCGTCCTGTGTTTGAAATGAGATCAGAAGAAAAGTTTGAACATCAGTAAAGGACAGTGAACTTGGTAGGTGAGTTTTGGCACTGACAGGGACAATCTCTGCACACCCAGATCAACCCTGAATGCTAATATACTGCATGGAAGAAGTGAGGAAAACAGAAATGGAGGGAGAGAGAGAAGAAAAATGGTGTCCTTACTGTAATAGTCTCTCCACCACAGCCTTCTGGTGAGCAGCCTCCTCTGGACTTAGGTTTTCCAGCTCCTTCATTATCGGAGGAGTGAATTCCTCCCCATCATCAGAGGTTTCCTCCTCAGATAACCTGGACTCCCCCATCCCATTAGGGAGATTGGGAATTTCAGCACAGGGTTCTCCTTTTTCTCCCTGGATGGCACTGATGGCGCGCTGGCTTTCACTCTGGAGCGTATAGGGATCTACTTCACCCAGTGCTTTGATCAGAGTCTCTTTGGTAAGTCCTGACTCCAGTAGTGCTTCCAGCAACTCCACCTGAAGATGGCTCAGTTTTGCAACCATGGTCTTCCGTCTGATGCCTCTTGAATTTGAGTTTCAACTCGTTCTGCCTCCGGCTATCCCAACACCATGTTCCTGAGGTAGCACACCTGACTGTCAGCGGAGTGGAATGGCATAGCCTCCCACCTTTACACCCCCCAAAAAAACAAAATACAAAAATGAGCCGCTTCAGACCCCCCACGACTGTCCTGAGCCAGTGCTGATAAAGGGACCCTTGGCTATCTGTTTACATTGGAGCAATGTAAATTCTCCAAGGTTCATATTTATCCGTGTGCTTAGCAAGTTACTGAACTTTGGACTTCAGCCTTGCAGCAGCAGTTCACAAAGTGCAGAGAGCGCAAGTTAGGGGGAGGGGGAAAGGCAGGGAGGCAGATGGGAAAAGGAGAGTAAAAGGAATGGACAGAGGAACAGCCAGGAGACTATGATAAAAGAGGGGAATTGGAAAGTGAGAGCGCGAAAGTGTGGCTGGTTCTTGGCCATGATGTTTTAAGAGCAGAGATAGACAGCAGGGGCTGGAAGTAAGTTTGTAGCATCTCCACTCTGTAAAGTAAGGCTACTGCTGTTGAATGTGCAGACCCCGACCCGGAACATTTGGTGTTACTCTATGCCTCATAACGTTGGCATAGTCCCTTCCAAAAGCTTTGGGTTGGGAGCCTCAGGAGCTCTGCACAACCCCCACGAGTACAACCGCTGGATTGATTCTAATGTTCCTAAGGTCTCCACTATTTTCTACAGACTCCAACTGGCTTCAGCGGAATAGGATCACCTGATTGCCTGTCACCTAAGCAACATTGCATTTGCTCCCGTCACTGGCTCTGATTTGCTGAAATAGCTTGGTCTGCACTTACCTGTTCCCTTTTCTTGCCATTGCAACTTACTGCTTTAGTTATTGATTTGGTTAGCTGCTAACAGCGTGCTCAGATCATGGGGCCTACCCTGTTGAACCTACAATCTAAGCAGGCGGAAAAAAAACAAACGCACAAGTGCTAGACTGGGTGTTGGCGCATTGTAAAGATTCCTGCCCTACCCCTGATTGCTCCTCCTCTCTTTGCAAGTGCTGCCCACAGTAGCTCCATTTGCCATCACTCTTGTTCCACTCCCACTGATACTACGTTACCCAGCCTTAGGGTTGTACTCCCACTTGTTGGATGACTTCTCTGAAAGAGATGGTCTAGCACATCCAGGATGATGGGCTGGATACAGGAATCTTGGATGCAGTGCAAACTTTCTGGTTTGCATTATGCAGGAGGCTGGACTAGATGGTCTCTTCTGTCCTTCAAATATGTGACTCAAGGCACAAAGTAAATAATCTACTCATGAAAGTCTGATTTTCCACCATAGACTTTGTAGCTTGTAGAGACTTAAGCTAGACTGTCTGATTCTCCCTTATGGGATCAGAAACAGGAGGATTTTAACCACAGTGATTTAGTGAGAGGATTTTCCTAGCTCCCTCAGTTTGTTTCACTTTTTTACACTCCCACTTGAGCTCCAACCTGAGGAAAGCTGGATGAAGCAGGGAGCCTAAATACAGGCCAAAGGTAGTGCTGCAGAGTAACCTTTGGCACTTCCTTCTCTTTGGGAGCTGCATAGTCTGTGCTCAGCAGCACTCCTGTCCTGTGCCAAGCCTGCAAATGATGGATCAAGCTTCTTCTCAAGTAGGACTGCACAGCAAGCCACACTTACATCCTTAGGGAAGACTTTCAGCAAGGATTTCCACTAACTGTTTGGCCTTACTTCATAGGCATATCTTCCCTTTGGCAGACTAGAAAAGTGAACACAGTTAATGTAGGGTTCCAGAACACTGCCTCAGCATGGTCAAAGGGACAGCAACCAGGAGTCTGCATTTTTTTCCAGGAATACCAGGAGCCTAGTACTCAAATGTAACCTTTGGACAATGTTTATTCTGTTGAATTACAATCCCCAACTGTAATGTACATTTTCTGTATTCTGTACTACTTTACTTCTAGGATTTTTGTGCAGGCAGAATAGACATTTTGCACCCAGAATTGGTGTACCAGGTATAAACACCAAACCTCTTACTGTTGTTTGTTCCTGTAAGGTTTCCTTTATTTTAAAGCTTTTTGTTTTCTAAACTTAGAGCAAAATACACATTTACATACCATAGATTGGATAACATCTATACAAAGTTCACACTGAGCAAACAACTGTGGGTGGAAAATTGTAACAGAAAACACTGAAAGTGTCAGTTTGGCCATTAAAAGCAATTAAAAATATTTAAAAAAGTGACAGTGCTGATGTGGACTCTTGGAGTAACAATGCCTAGTTTCTCTTTGCATATGCAAAATCATAACCCTAATATTAAGAAGGACTCTTACAGATTCAGAGTTTTCTTCATTGTGCTACATCTCAGAAAATGTAAGTTTTGCCCATTTGGTTTTGGCAGAAATATAAAACGAGCTAACAACACTAATCAATTGGCCTGTTTTACCCAGCTTCACTGGCTGATTCATTCACATTAAAAGGATGCTGAAGAATATTATTATTTTGTTTGCAACAATGATAATCATGGAAATCTTTTATTGCTAGTGGGTTTTGAAAATACTTTTTTTATATAACCTGTTTTGGACTAAAATTGACCTTCCATTGCCATTTTTTATAGAATGAGTATTGCAAATATAATAGTTTAACTTTCAGGCTTTTATGCACTAGCAGTGTTGAAATGTCTGGGCTGAAGTCACAGCAGGGGAAGACTTAAATGTAGTGTCTTTGTTTAAAAATAATTTATACCAATATTAGATTGAGAACTATTTTCTTTAAACTCATAAAAAATCTGAATTCTGGACCTATTTTATATCAGTTACATAGAAGAGGTCTGATATGATGGGACTGAGGCAGGGAAGGCCTTGGTATGAAATGCACAATCTTGTAACTACCCAGAGCAGTGCTAGAATCTTTCTCCTCAGTACAGTTCATTACGTTACGTGGGGTCATTCTGTATTTAAGTGTCATTCTTACTAAAGTCAGAAACTCTCCATGTTGTGTACACAGTAATAAGTCAGACAGGTCTCAAATCTTTCTTCCCAATGGCTTTGTTATGACACGGCCAGATCAAAGAAGCCCAAGTTCCATTCCTTAGCATGTGGTAACTGTAGGGAGTTCCAGATTTTGAAAAGATTAATTAATATGTAACATGCCTTAGCTGTCTTGATTTTTGGCTCTCTAAGTATTTTACAAACATTGATGAATTAAGTGGCACTGCCTCATACACTAGCAAAGCCACTGAATTGTAAAGCACCAGATAAGTTTTTTATTTCCAGAGCACAAAGCTCTTTATGATGGTAGCTAAGCATTCTATAGAAACCAAGGCACAGAGAGATTAAGTGACATAACCAGAGTTGAATAGAAAAACAGCTGAACCAATAACAGAGCCCAGCTATCCCATACTCCTTTTCCATGAGACCATCTTTCTTTCTCCCTCCCAGGCGGTTTGGTGACTTGATTCATTTCAGATGCTAAAAAACATTGGAATGGGTGCTAATCATATTAAGACAATTGCTCTTGAGGTCAAGCTGGGGCTTGAAATCTTGTATGTCACTGTTCAATAGCCTTCTTCACTGATGCTTGGAGCAGAGCTAGTGAGCTATAAAAGGGGAAGCATTTAGTTATTCAGGGATCCTGGTTTCCATTTGCTGTGGAAAAATGCAGATTTTCTCCTTTAATGGAACAAAATGGGGCTTTTCTTTTTAAAGGAGAAAATCATGGATTTTTGCCTTTAAAGTAAAATATGCAGGAAATGGTGGGTTTCCCCTTGCAGGCTTGCAGATTTCCAGCTCACAAAGGCTATAGGGGGAAGAGGGCAGGCAGGCAGGGGGCACCACACACATATTTATTTATTTTTGTAAAAATATATGTCTCTCTTTCTATAAGGTTATATATGTCTACACTCTACCTATTACATCACAAAATGGTTAAAACTTTCCCATTACAGAAATCCACGCCTGTGCACCTGTACAAAGGTCCGCTGGCCACCTGTACCCATTACAATATCTGCAAATGAGCGCAACACACACACACACAAAAATCAGTCCCTTCTGGTCCCTCCAGCCAGCCCTTCCTTCATTTCCACCCTTGCCCCGCTTCCAGGGTCACATACTCAGTTCAAGTGGTCTCTCTGTCTTTATTGCTCCAGCTTCCACTGCTGCTGCTGCTGTTGCTGTCCTTTGTTCCACTTGCCTGTTCCATATGTGCATGCACCTGGCAGCCAGGCAGGGTGGTAGAGAGCAGCTCCCACAGCTCCCTCCAGGTAAGTCCCTGGGCAGTGAGGTATGAGGGAGGCCCAGGCCACACATTAGGTGAGGTGGGGAAGGGGGCCAGGCCACATGTTAGGTGAGGGAGGAAGGAGACCAGGCCATATGTTGGAGGGGTGGAGAGGGCAGTGCCCTCCAAGATTTCTGTGCCCACAGAGGGGCTTGTGGACCAGCTCTGGCCAGGAGCCATCTCCGTGGCCCAGTGGGGGACCTCAGGGTGGGAGGGATAACTGTGTTGCCAAGCTGAGGTGCTCCCTGCCCACCCGACAGCAGCAGGGGGTACAACTCCACACTACCACCACTGCTGCTGCCCCTGCCATGCCTACTCATCATGGTGCACTGGGTCCCTCTGCTGGGCCGCAGAGATGGCTCCTGTCTAGAGACGGTCTGGCCCTGCTGCAGCCCCATGTCCTGCTGTGGGTGCAGAATTCTTGGGGGGCATGTGCCCCCCCAGGTCACCTGTGCTTCTCCCCACATTCCCCACACACCTATTCTCTTCTTCACACACTTGGAGTGTGGGAACAGCAGGTTGGAAGTGAGGGGCACCAACAGGGCTGGGGAGCTATGGGTTAGGAGTAAGGGGCACTGACAGGGTCAGAGGACTGTGGGTTGAGAGTGAAGGGCACCGGCAGGGCTAGGGGGCTGCGGTTTGGGAGTGAGGGGCACCAGCAGGGCTAGGACATTATGGCTTAGGAGTGAGGGGCAACAGCATATCAGGGCTGCTCAAGGCCACAAAGCAGCAGGGGGTGGAATTATGTTCAACTGATACCTGTGTGTGTGTGTGTGTGTGTGTGTGTGTGTGTGTGTGTGTGTGTGTGTGTGTGTGTGTGTGTAGTGGTGTTTCATTTTAATTGTGGAAAAACAGAGATTTTGGATTTTTAAGTCAGAAATTTGTATATTTTTTTCTTTATACCAGAGAATTTGTGATTTTTAAACAGAGAAAAACAGGATCTCTGGCATTATTCACCAGAGCAAGCGTCACTGTGATATAGATTATTTCTGCATGGGACAGCAAAGGAATAAAATGCAAACAACATTTTGGGGCACCTCCCTCTCTTCCCCCACCCCCACCTGTCCCCAACTCTCCTGTTAAAAAATGAAGTTGCACTAAACGACTACCCTGGAAGGAAGTTGTGTGCCTGGAGAATTTTAATTAAACACTTCCAGGGTAGATCCCAGACAGCATAATTTTGGGATACAAGTTACCCATTTCCCAAGGACTGACTGATACTGTTATCACAGTTGTATTCACTGGTTTGATTTAGGTGGAAAATACTGTAGTGAGTAGCACCTCTTGTTAGGCTTTACAGGTGCAGCATGTAAAGGAGTAGGACTAGACTGTTGACAAGGTAGCTATAAGAGCAGGAGGAGACCAGCCATCACCATTTTAGCTGCTGTCATCTGACCCTGCTCAGAGACTCTAAAAATATAATTTAGCCACAAACTTTCATTAAAGTAATTTTCTAGATGTTTCTCTTAATTTTGAAGCATCCATGCTATAACCCAACATTTTCCTATTTTCCTTAGAGGACAAGTCTGATCATGCAGAATGGGCTCAGGGAATGCTGGTCCATTTAAAACATGGGACCAAACAGGATCCTTTCACAGCTGATGCAAGATAAATGTTATATTTTTGTGGAGTGAGGGGATTAATTCTACAGTGACCAAACCCAGTCTGTTTTTTAACAGGCTTTACCTTTCAAAGGTTTCAAACATTTTCTGCTTTCCCAGGTGTACATCTGAGGTGTCCATTCATTCCCAAGACATACTTTATATCTTTACGCTGTGAAAAGGTTGTAACAAGGAGCTTTGGGCTCCTGCTAGTGTAAGGAAGGAGAGAAACTGCAGCTGATAAGAAGAGTCCAGGCAGCAGAATATAGACCAACTACAAGAGGGAAGGCAGCATAGAAACACTGCTGCCTAGTCAGGGAGTTGCCTGTTAAAGGAAAGACCACACCTGCAGCTGAGCAGGAGAACTCTTCCTAGACTGAGTTAGCTGCAAGGGAGTAAACAGCTGAAGACAAAGGGCTATGATGCCTGTTGCAGAGCTAGCTGCTCTGCAATAGGACAGTAGGGCAGAGCCAAGCTTGGGCAGCGGGGATGCTTCCAGAACAGCGATTGTGAGCTGCCAGGCCCCTGGTCAGAAGGGGCAGGCTGTAGACAGTATATCAAAACCTACATCACACTTGTAGACTTGGCAATGCTACACTCACCAGCACCATGACTGAGAGAGACTTGGGGCTCATGATTGACTGGAAGATGAACATGAGCCACCAGTGTGATACTGCAGCTGGCAAAGTGAACAAAACTCTGGTTTGCATCTACCGATGCATCTCAAGCAAGACCCAGGATGTCATCCTCCCATTGTACTTGGTGAGGCCACAGCTGGAGGACTGCATACAATTCTGGGCTCCACAATTTAGGAAGGATGTGGACAAGCTTGAAAGGGTCCAGAGGAGAGCCACATGCATGATCAGAGGGCGAGAGAACAGGCCTTATGAAGAGAGGCTGCAAGCTATTGGACTCTTCAGCCTGGAGATGTGCAGAATCAGGGGTGACTTGGTGGCAGCCTATAAGTACATAAGGGGTGTGCATCAGGATGTGGGGAAACATCTGTTCACCAGAGCACCCCAGGGGATGACAAGGTCCAACAGTCACAAACTCCTGCAAGACTGTTTTAGGCTGGACATACAAACTTCTGTACTGTCCAAGCCCCCAAGGCCTGGAACAGACTCCCCCCAGAAGTGGTGCAGGCACCTACTCTTGACACTTTCAAAAAACATTTGGATGCTTATCTTCTAGGATCCTTTGACCCTAGCTGACTTCCTGTCCCTGGGGCAGGGGGCTGGACCCGATGATCTTATGAGGTCCCTTCCAGCCCTAATGTCTATGAAATCTATGAACTATCAGACCAGAGTCTGAGCCAGAAGGGAAGTCTGAGCCACAGAGAGAAGAGCTTCTGGTCAGGAAGACCACAGGAAGATGCCTGGCTGATTCTTGAACTGCCTTGGGGACTGCCAGTAAGACACTGATGGCTTACAGAGAGATGCAACCCAGGGTAAGGGGAAGCCTTGTTCCATAGACAGCATCTGGAGCAGGTTTAATTTATGTTATGGCCAGAGGGCTTGTTTGTTCATTGTAGTTAGACCAGTGGTTTGAGTTGGCCTCTTAGGGGAGATATGTATATCAAGGTGTGGCAGGTGAGTGAGGTGGTGGGGGTAACCTAGAGGTGGAGCAGAGCAAGGGTTGTGTGGTCACTGAGAGTGACATGGCTACCCCCCGAACTCCAGCTTGCTACAGGGGTCACTTTGCATTTGATTGTGAGTTATTCTAGTTGAACATAGTTAAGCTGCTTTAGCACTTCTGTCACATAAATAAAGTGACTATTATGATAGGATGATAAATCTCATTCCTTTTAGTTTGCTGTTCTGTGGAGTGGAATGTAATGACTTCACTGTTCCATACAGTGTATAGAATTATCTTCTGTATTATGTAGTAACCTGAATTTAATGAAGTACTTCGAACAGAAATACCATTCAGAAAATGTTTGCCTTTTTCTGAACTCCACACTACACTTAGATAAGTTGAATTTCACCATTGCTTTTTGTGGAGAGGCTGCTTTTGGAAAAGACTAGCTGACATCTGGACTCACTACAGAAAAATGCCAGTGAAGATAATAAATCACCTTTGTTTTAAACCACAGGATGAAGCTTCCCTGTGCTCTAAGAAGAAAAGGACCAGCTGATACTGGACCCTTTGCAACCTCTAGACATGGAAACTGCTACAATTACTGTAGCCAAAGGCCAGTCAGAGCCAGCAGATTCCAGAGACTAGAAAACAAAAGATAAACATCTATTAATTTTAGGAACATCACAGATGCTGGAGCTGGACATGGTATGGAAATTGACGAGTTAAATATAGAGACCTCTCTTATGCTGTTAAGGATGCAAAGGTTCTGCATATATGTGCACTGAAGGATATATTTTTTTCTTTGGTTAATCAGGGGTGTGTTTTTTAACCCTAGGGAGTAAATATTTATCAGTATAAAAACAACTAAAAGTTCTTTACTAGCATAACTCTGTAACGCAAATACAACAGCAAACAATTGAGAGTCCTGTAAAATATTCCATGTCCATATTCCCCCTTTCTGGAAAATCCAAGAAAACAGATTAATCTGATCTTGATGCTCAACAAATTGCCTCTATCCAACTAAAGACTTTGGAAGTAGGGGAAAAATCCATTGTTGTAAACCTAGATAATGTCACCCTGTCCTTTACACAAAGCCACTGCTATGCAAGGACCCTCAGACTATTCCTGCAGTATCCCATGAAGAGATAGCATTTGTGGCCCAAGTGAAGGCTGGAGGTTGCAGTGTTAAACCATGTAAGTTAGTTTTGTTACCAGAATGAGAACTAAAATGCAGAATGTCACAAATTTAGATTGCAAACTCTTGTGACTTAACTGCACAGTACCTGGTACTTTAGTCACAGTAGTACATATTTGGAAGAAAAGGACTTGTTTTGTTACATTACTACTTGGTTTAATATAAATGTTCAGTGTTTGTTGATTTCCTTGTTTAATTTGTGACTTGATTCTTTTCAGCTGTAATGTGAGCAAAGTTACTCTGTCTGGTAATTGTGCTTGCAGTTGTAATAATAAAAGGAAGTTTGCAAGTCTTGAGTAACTGTTCCAGCATTATGCTTTTGCCTAGAATATACAAAACAGTTAATGGTATATTAGTAATCAGTGATGGCATGTGAAGTTACATATAAATAGGTATGACATAGTTATTGAACTGTGTTCTGTTCCTTATACCCTGATAAAACCAAAGTCAAGTCATCAGAGTTGCACAAATAAGACTCGGGAGCAGATTGTGGTCTATAAAGTCTGATTTGCTCTACCAGTAAATTAATGCACAAACTGTAACCATTGTATCGAATTGCATCCGCTTTCAACTATTCCTGCTCTTATCTGCGCTAGAAGAGAGAGAGGTTTTCAATTTACCAACACTGCAGCTCCAAGGGATGCATGGAAAAAAAGAAGCAGGAACACTTCGATGAAGATTGCCCACTAGAGGGAGCTCATAGTTTTTTTTAGTGTAACAGCAACAGTGACATTACCACAGAAAAAACAGGGAAGGGGGTTCCTTTCATAATCCTCTACTACTGTATTATTCCTCCAGGTGAGGGTGCCGAGTACTTTTTTGGCTTCAGATTAATGTAATGTTGTAGTTCCCCTCCCCCTCCAAGGTAGGAGAGCTATTCTCATCATCCTTCCCGTTGCACAGGTGAAAAGGGGCTATACAAATGAAGAGACTGATCATTACATATGAGCTTGGCCCTGACTGACGTATGGGACTGTAAGAAATTCTGGATAACTGTCAGTTGTATTTTGTTTTTACAAGGTTAGATTTCAGCTATTTGTGCAGGCCCTTGAGAACCTCGTGGGGTGGAGGAATTGGTCTAATTCACAATTATTAAGGGATTTTGGCTGGGACTTTGTAGCAGAGGAGGAAAGTGGAGAACTGATTTTCAGTAGGAATCCAACTGGTTGTCCTGTTGTTGGCTGAACAATGCCTTGTCAAGCAAGAAGAAGGTAGGAGATAACCCTTTGATTCAGGCACTGAGTTGCCTCCCTGATTTCCTTTACTGTCCTCTGCAGCGTGTGGTGAAGTTGAGGAGAACAGGCATTTTAATTCTCTGGAGAACACTTCACACTCACAACTGGAAACCTCAAGGAAAATAACTGAAGCCCAAATGAACATTTAAATTTAGCCGGGACAAAGTGCTGCGAAGTACAATAAAAGGTCAGTGCAGTATGATGAGGAACTGCAAATCTTATTACTCTTCAGTTTCTTCTTTCAGTTGGGGAAGGAGTGTGTATGTGTGCATGTCAGTACCACTCTCTGTCCCTGTACAGCTTTATTCTCCCACTCAGTTTCCATCACCAGTAGGAGGTTCAAACAGAAAAAAAATGAAGTGCTGCTGCTCAACTAGCGAAGGAATCTTGCTGGAGGTGGGAGTGCGGAGATGGGTGTGTGATCTATGCAGATACATATTTAAACTGTCTTCACTGAGGGAATTATCTTAAGCTCCTGGTTGCAGGAGAGCTTATCATAGCTCTGAGTGAATTCCTGCCAGGCTAGGTCTCTAATTTTCTTTTCTGCTCACTACAGGCCTTTGATGGGCTGACTACCATCATCAGGGTAACTACTCCACATGAAGCTTCTCTGGCCACCATTCTCCATTGCTAAGGAGTCAGAACTGAATTTTGCTTCTAGAGTGACATTTGCCTTTGTAGGAGGAGGGGTATAGACTTTGTGCTGTCAGTGGTGTCATCTGATTCTTCATCATTGTTGCCTTACTCTGCTAAGGGAATTATTTATCTAACCAGAGATAAAAAAAAGACCTTATTTTGTTGTCTGACAGTACAGAGACTTCTCTAACAGGTCCAAACAATGCAGCAGTCTATGCTCAAGAGACAGGACATCATATCTCAGCTGAAAGGACTCTGTGATATATTATGTCACCATTGACACCTTGAAGTAAAGTTCACTCTTGCAGATCTGAGGAGGTTCTGCAAGAGGTGTATGACATGAACATCATCTGAGGCATTTGAGCTGTGCCTTTTCCCATCCAGAGGACTAATAGTAAATGCTGGATTTGAAGAAAGGATATTGTGTGATGCTAGAGCATTCCTGCAGAATCCTCATTTACTAGTCTACCTCATCAGGTAAAATTTGGTTATCAAACTCCCATGCTCAGTTTTTTGATAACCAAAAGTTTGGTTATCAAACTCCCATGCTCAGTATTTTGCCAAGCTGAACAATCAGGATCCATTCACCCTTGGCCAGTGGGAACACTGCCATTTTGTGGGCACAATTGTTATTTTTTCATCCCACACCATGAAGATTCCAGAAAAATAATCTGAATACTGGAAATCGATTGACGTATTGGTTTATCCTGCCATCTGATGATGGAAAAGAGGAAGGTTTTGCTTTACTTGGGTTTAAAACACATTACAAATAAAATGTTGTGGACTGATGCAAGTGACAGAGGAAACTGCTGTCAGTGAATCGGAAAGTCCTAATTTCATCACAGTTTTATAGTTTCAGTTCTGGTTATTAGTAAATTCCTGCTTAGAATTAAATTGTTTTGTTTGGATCCTAAACTTCTGCATGAGAGTTCTCATCATCATCTGGATTTCTTTCCAGCCAAGTCTTGGGTTCCCGTTAAATCATTTAATTGGACAACAAAGTCCATTTTCTGAGATTTGGAAAACGAACTTCCTCTCCATCTCTGCTTCCTATGTACTCCATTTGCCTTATCACAATTGCCAGAAAGTTTCAGATATTGTGGGACTGTGTGGGGAGGGAGCAAGAGAAGAGCAGATAAAAGTGTTGCAATAATAGGGGGTATCCCCCATTAAGGCATCCCTGAGGGCTCATACTGAATAGAAGTTAGGTTGGTTTTGCTTCAGGTAGTTCTACTTCATATGGTATAGCACAAAACCGTTTTTGCACAGATTTTAGCAGCCAGGTAAGCACATACTGCTTGGAATAGCCATTCCATGACTCTTCCTCCCCACTTGGCTTGGAAAAAGCCAGTAGCTACAGAAGCTGTGGTATAGCAACAGCTCAGGCTGGATGGGCTTCATGCAGGAAGTCTGAAGGGAGGGGAAGAGGAAGACAATAGACTTATGTCATCAGGTCTGATCCATCTTTTAACTGTTCACAATATATGGATAGGTGGTGCTTTAGACATAAAGACGGTAGGGAGAAGGAGGAACCTTTATGTGCATCTGAAGTGCTTATTAATGAGCGTTGCTTTTAAGTACATAACTCTCCTAAGTGCTCTGTTGTCCTCCTTCTGAGAGACAAATGTACAAATACTGAACTCTGACGTAAGGCTTTCCTTCTTCCATCTGTTTAATGCTGTTGTGAAGTAGGAATATGTTATTCTCATTTTACTGAGGGTGAAACAGAACCTCAGACAGGCACGGTCATCCTTCCATGGTCACAAAGAGAGCTAGTAACAGAACATGGAAGAGGACCTTGGAGTTCCTGATTCTCAGTGCTGTTCCCTATCCATAAAGCAGCCCCTGAAACAAGATTTTTCTGTTTCAGTACAATAAGACTAACATGTTTCTAGGTCCTGATCTCTATCTGGTCACAACACAAACACATAACCTAGTTTCTGCTGTTACTTCCCCAGTGTAGAGACTGGAAAAGTATTTGGATCCATTATAAATCTCCACTGTCCTAGTAAGAAAAATTTGATGTGTACCGTTATTATATTTGTGAGCAGAAACTCCACATATACTTGAAACAAATATCAGGCCACTATATTACCGCCTGTCTTCAGTTAGAACTAGCTTCTTACAATTTGTCATGCTAAAGGAAATTGCAAATAATGCAAAGCTGCTCTGGTGTTTAGGGCTCTAAACAGCAAATCCTTACTCAAATGTGTTATTACAACATAACCAGAAGTAAGGATTACTTGGGTAAACAAAGCTTGTGGGGTCATGCACCAAATTCATATTTGGCCAACTACAACTACTGCCAGAATTCAGAATCTGGTAGCGGTACCAGAGAAACAGAAGAGGGAAGAGACAAGATTAGGATCAGCAGCTGCCAAGTCTTCCTACTGACAGTAAAATGGATTTAATGTGTTTGGCGTTAGTGAAATATGTTTGTAATTTTATCTCAGCAATTTTGGACATCTTGAAAGTTCTTTGCCTGCTGCAAACCTTTCTAAAACAATCCTGAGCTTTTGGGATCTGAATTAATGCACTCTCCTTTCTTTGTTTAAAAAGCAATGAAATCAAGGATGTGTCCAGCTGTGTTATTTCTCTGAAATCCACCAGGGAATTTAATTAAAGGAGAATTTTAGAACCTAAGCCTCATATCTAAACACTGTATTTATTATTTCCCCTTCCTCAAAATCTCAAAGCAGACTCATCTGTTGGAAATCATGTATCCCTTTGGAGTGGCAGGAAATTAGTAGAATTGAGACAGCTGTGAATGCTGCATGCCACTGGAGGCTGGGGGTCATGGCAGTGGGTGGCAACAGCGCTGTTGGTGGTAGGAGTGTGGCGGTGGTAAGTGGGGAGCTCCTGCATGCAGCTGCGGTGGTATCGGTAGCAAGGGGTGTGTGTGCAAGTGCCAACTGGCGGTTGGTGACCATCTGCAGACACTGCTGGCAGTGTTGGCGGTGGGGGTGGTGGGCAGTGACAGCCTGCAGGTGCTGCTGGCAGTGTCAGCAGTGCCTTCTTGCAGGGGTGCACAGTCATGCTTTAAACAAGGCTCGTTGGGGGAAAGGGGAAGACGAGGGTGGAGGAATCATCGGACTGCCAGACCAAGCAACACCCACAAGTACAGCCCAGCCTAGACCGACGAGCGAAACATATACACAGGTAAGTGACAGGGGCCAGAGTAATGCTAAAAATAGGGGGCCAGTACACACATCCATAGGAGGCCTTAAATGCCTCTACACAAACGCTCATAGTATGGGAAACAAGCAGGAGGAACTCACCCTCCTGCTAGCTGACACCAACGCAGACATAGTGGGGATCACTGAAACGTGGTGGGACTCAACGCATGACTGGGTGGTGAATGTCAAGGGCTATAGGTTGTACAGGAGGGACAGGATAGGAAGGAAAAGTGGGGGCATGGCACTCTACTTTAAGGAGGGATACCCATTCTCATCAATTAACAAAGAATCAGAGGAAGGGCACTCTGAACTGCTTTGGGTTAGACTACAAGGCAGTCGAGGGGAAAGAGACTTAACGGTGGGGGTCTACTACAGACCTCCTCCCAACCAAGGGGAAGAGCTCGACCAGGAATTCTTAGGTCAGCTCATGGAGGTAGTGAAGTCAAAGGATGTGGTAATCATGGGTGACCTGAACTTTCCAGACATCTGCTGGGAAGAGCAGACAGCCAGATCTGACGCTCACGTAGGTTCTCAGCCACAATGCAGGACCTCCATCGAACCCAGGAGGTGCACAGCCCCACCAGGGGAGACACCCTTGTTGGACCTGGTGCTGGCCACTGGTGACGACCTGGTGAGGGGGCTGCGGGTGCTCGACCACCTGGGTGACAGCGATCATTGCCTGCTGGAATTCACCATCCAGCGCAAGGTGGCAAAGGCCTGCAGCAAGGCAGCAGCCCTAGATTTCAGGAGGGCAAACTTCAATAAGCTAAGGAGAATAGTCAGGGAAGCACTGAGGTCCCAGAGGGGAGGGAAGCCAGGTGTCCAAAAAGACTGGTCGCTCCTTAAGGAGACGATCCTCCAAGCCCAAAGGGAGGTAATACCAACACGGATCAAAGGGAGCAGGAGGGCACACAAGCTCCCATGGCTCACCAAAAACATCTGGGAATGTCTCCTAGCTAAAAGGGAGGTGTACACCTAATGGAAAGGAAGGGCCATCACCATGGATGACTATACTGCAGTTGCTCGGGGATGTAGAGGGGCAGTCAGGAAGGCCAAGGCAGAGATGGAACTGGGACTGGCTTCCCAGATTAAGGACA